AGCCTCTCTCTGTCCTGTCTCTGGTGTCCAGGAGCTGTGACCTGACCCAGCACCCCTCCCCATGCACGAACACCCCCAAATCACGAAAGTCAGACCCAGATGCAGGGGCCTCCCCTCACACTCACTGACCACCCATCCCCTGGCCTCGGTGGGTCTCAGGCTGGGGCACCAATGACCAGTCCAGAACTTGCCCCACCCAGACCAGAGGGCGGCTCCCTCCCTCCCAGGCCCAGCTGGTCACCTTCTCTCTGCTTCTCAAAGAGAATCACCTCATACAAAGCTGTGAAGCTCATGTAGCCCACGTGGGACCGTGAGTATCCCAAGGAAAGTTCTAGCCCCGGTGCCCCCCATCCCCACCTCACACCAGAAACAAAAGCCGGTATGTAGAGACCACTTGGAAGCACGGGGTTCTTGGGGGACCAGGGGAGTAGGGGTCCCACCGGGGGGCAGCCCACTGGACGAAGGCTCGGCCCTGGTGGACAGCTGGAGCCCCTGGCCAAGGCTTGCAGCCCTCGGTCTCCCAGAGCCAGCAGCGCTCGCAGCCCAGGGCTCCGCATCAGCCAGGGGACACCGCCCCCCCGCCCCCCCCCGGCCCCGCCGCCTCCTGGTGCGTAGCAGCACTGCCATGAGGCTGGAGACTCTTCGGGAAGCCAGCTCCCTCTGAGGCTGCCAGCGAGCAGGTTCTAAAAGTCCCCCAGGTGGTTAAGGACGGACTGGGACGCTGGCAGGGGGCCCATCGGCGGGGGCCACACCTCCCCCCTCCACTCCTGAGGCCACCTGAGCTGGCCACCACCACATGTCACCCAGGCCACCAACTTCTGGCCATGTGTCTCCAGACAGGTCAGTGAGGAAAAGTGCTGGTGGCCACACGCAGAGGGTCTGCAGCGTGACTGGGAGGGCACTGCTCCAGGCCTCCCGATTCCAAGGGGGCCAGGAGTATGATGGGAGGTGCATTTTCAAAGGGACTGTCTTGACTTATGTAGCTTGTGCTTTGGGGTGTGGCCGGGACAGGGGCTGGGGGTGGGGCGGGGCGGGGGGCAGATCCAAGCCCTCCCTTCCCAGAAGGGTGGTTGGCAGCTGCTCTCTGCAAGAGGAGGGGGCCTTGGGGGAGGAACCCAACCAGCCTTAAGTGCTGCCCAGGAGGAGGTGCCCATGCACTCTGCCAGGCTCTCTCTTGCCACTGGAAAGGGGTGGATGGAGAGAGACGCCATGAATCCTTGACCCCGGCAAAGTGGCCACAACTTCTGCCAGAGAACTTGAGGCAGCTCCCATTCTAAGCTGACAGCCAGGTCCCAGAGTTTCTGGTCGTTTCTTTCTCAGAATCCAGCCCAAGGAGGCCCCTGCCCAGATTCCCAGCTCGGAAGCACCTCCCACCTGCCCAGGGCACAAACCATTATCGGTCCTGCCTCACGATGGAGGCCACGGGGCCGGAGAGCCCGGACAGCCGAGGCTTCCCCTTGCCAGGCACAACGGGCGCCGGCCTCTCTTGGGACAACGGCACCAGACACAGCGTCACACTCCCTGAGCCGCTGCCGGCTCTTCACGTGTTCCTGCCGGTGGTGGGCGCTGGTGCCTGCGCCGTGCGGCTAACGGGCAACGCGGCCGCCGTCTGTGTGATCCTGAGAGCGCCCAGGATGAAGACGGCGACCCACGCATTCACCCTGAACCTGGCCATCGCGACGGCTCTTCACACCGGTGCTGCCCACCAACATCGCCGAGCACGTGCTGCAGCGCTGGCCCTTTGGGGAGCTGCTCTGCGAGCTGGTGCTGGCCACCGACCGCTGCAACGTCTTCTCCAGCGTCTACTTCCCGGCCGCCGTAAGCATGGACCTACCTGGTGGTGCCGGCCGCGGTGCGGCCCCGCCGCACACCCCGGCACACTGTCCACGGGGCTAAGATCCCCAGCCTGTGCACCTGGCTGGGTGTCACTGTCGCGATGCTGCCCTTCTTCACCTTCGCCGGAGTCTACAGCAATGAGCTACAGGTCACAAGCTGCGGGCTGAGCTGCCCACGGCCTGAGCGGGCCTGGTTCCAGGCAATCAGCATCTACACGCCGGTGCTGGGCTTGGCGGTGCCCACGGGCACCCTCTATGCTCTCTACGTGGAGGCTGCAGGCCCTGCGGCTCCACTCCGGAGCCAAGGCTCTGGACAAGGCCAAGCGGAAGGTGAGTCTCCAGGTCCTGGCTGTGCTGGCCGTGGGCCTGCTCTGCTGGACGCCCTTCCACCTAGCCTCAGTCGTGGCCCTGACCACAGACCTGCCCCAGACGCCACTGGTCATCATCACCTCCTATGTCGTCACCAGCCTCGGCTACACCAGCTCCTGCCTCAACCCCTTCCTCTAGGCCTTCCCGGACCACAGCTTCTGGAAGAGCCTCTGCACCACGTTCCAGTGCCCGGGGGCATAAGCACCCCTCCCTCGCGGCCCACGCAACTGTAGAAAAGCTCTGCTCCTTTAGAGCAACACCCCACTTGTTCACATCCCATCACTATTTTCTCCAGACAGAAAGAGAAAGACCCACGAAGGCTGGCCACCAAGCCCGCAGAGGTGGCCATGGGCCCACCCCTGTCTCTGCCTCCTAGACAGCCCTTGGGTGGCCAGCTGCAGGGATTCAGGTCCCGCCGACCCAGGCAGATGGTCCTGGCACAACAGACATCCTGGGGGGCACCTGGGGCAACAAAGCCAGGTGTTGCTGTAAAAGCCAAAGGCGCACATCAAAGGAGGCCATGAAGCGCGCTCTCACAGCCCAAAACTCAGGTGACATTTCACCAGGAGGCCTGTGCCCGTGTCCCCTCCTGGCTCCCTCAGCAGGGCTCAGGCTCCCTTGAGCACCCCATGCCCCTTGTGCCCTTCATGCCGATGCCTGTGGTCCCCTCCCATGTCCTGCTATAGGACCCAGGGCCCTTCTGCCAGGACCTCTGGAGGGGGCACCTGTCATTTAGACAGGCTGGCACCTGGACCCCTTCCCCCCTGAGGTGTGGCCTGGGGCCTAGACTCTGCCAGCAGGGGCTCCACCTGGGGGTGGGGTGGGAACACTAAGGGGCTGGCTGCTCAGAGACCATTTCTGCCACAAGTCCCTGAAGACGGCTTTGGTGGGCCTCGGCCAGGCTCCGCACTCTTGGCCCCATGGCTCCCAGCTGCTTCCAGGCCTGGAGCTCCAGCCTTGCCGTTCCGTAAGTCACCTGCCCGGCACCCGATAACCCTGCGAGGCTTATGGGGCCCCAGGTTGGTTTTAGTCCTTGTGACACGGCTCTAGTCAGTCTGTCCCGCTGGCAAGCAGGACACACCTTTCGCCACCCGGTGAGGTGGCCCCCAGGCTGCATGGCCGCCTCCCCCGCACCCGGTCACGTGGAAGAGCTCGGACCCACACCCCTCTCCCCTTTCCTCTCTCAGCCTGAAACAACTCAGAGGCTACCTCCGTCCTGTTATCTTTCTGACCACATGGTATTAGTAAGCTATTACTGTATAAAACACTCCCCCAAAATTAGCAGCTCAGAACAACATTTACTAGTTCACAACTCTTGTGGGTCAGGAACCTTCCAGCAGCTCTCAGCTGGCTCCAGCTCAGGGTCTCTCATGACATTTCAGGCAGGACTTCAGCCGAGGTCCCAATCACCTGAAGGCCACATTGGGGCTGGAGGAGCTGCTTCCTCTCGTGGCCACTGGCCGGAGGCATCGGTTCCTGGCCCTGCGGGCTGTCCACAAGCTGCTTGGGCATCCTCCAGGGGTGGCAGCGAGCCCACAGGGCAGCATCCGAGAGAGAGCCAGGCGGAAACCTCCACACCTTTAAGGCCTATCTAGGAAGCCATTCTGCTACTTTCTGTTCCTTAGAAGCGAGTCCCCAAGTCCCACCCACACTCAGGGGCTGTGGCCACTTCTCAAACCGCCACTAGCACCCAGCCTCTCCCACGAAGAACTAGCTGTTCCCGATCCGCTCTCTCACTGTGTTGCAGTCACACCTCTCCAAGCAGCAGCCGTGATTACCTCGTCAGCGTTCATCCTGCGCCCTGCGAGCTCCTCGAGAGAAGAAGTTGCGGCTCCTACACCCCAGCTAAGACCCCAGCTGGGCCGAAGCGAGGCGTGAGTGCGCGTGGCGTGAGTGTGCGTGGCGTGAGTGCGGAGCAGCAGGGGCGGGGCTGTGTCAGCCGGAAGCCCACGGGAACGCCGAGCCGAGCAAGGGTCTCCCACCCCGTCCCCAGCAGAACATCTCCCTAGCACAGGAGGTGCCCACCAAGCCTCCTCAACGGACCCCACACTTTTTATTCCCTGGGGTGGCCCCCGCCCCACACACAGCCCAGCAACGGGAGCCACCGTCTCGCACTGGGAACTCCATGGTGGGGACCGAGGAGGGGCAGGCCCAGCCAGGCGGTCCACATCCGATGGGAGGGAGGGTCTTCACGCAGGGCCCGCGACACACCAAGGGTGGGGGAGACATGGGCCAGCCAAGGTTGGGGGGAGAGGAGAGCCCTCACTGGGATCCCGCCCGAGTGAGTTGTGGACCCCGGGGAAAATGCCGCCCCCTCCACCGTGACTCCGGAGATGGACTGGGGAAAGGGGAGGGAGTGTCCCCATGCCCTGGGCTTCTGGGCCCAGAGAGAACTGGCCCTCTCCTTCCACTCCCCAAATCCCCTCGCCGTGGCCCGGACCCCGGCCCCGCACCACCCGGCGCGGCCCCTGGGCGCAGTCTCCCGCGGGCCACAGCGCCCCTGGTGGGCAAAGTCCAGGGCGCCAGGTGAGCCCGCAGCTTCCCCGGTCCAGCCGATCCGCTGACCCCTCCCCCGCCCGGCCTTCCCCCACTACCCCGTGAGGAAGGTTCGGCGTCCCTTCTGCGCAGGCGGGGAAACCAAGGCTCAGCGAAGCCGGGAGACTTGACCGAGCCCAGCTGGTGGGGGTTGGGCGGGGGTGGGGATTGGGGCAAGGAAAGGGGCAGGGGGCGAGGTGGCGGTGCAGGCTGGAGGCCGGGTCGGAGCGGTGGGGCGTGGAGGTGGGGGCGGGGCGGGGCTGGAGGCAGGGGGCGGGGTCGGAGGTGGGAGCCGAGGAGAGGTCTGGGTGCAGGTTGAGAGGACGAGCCGTGGTCCCGCTTCCGAGGTCCCGCGGGCTGCTGGCCGGCCCCTCAGCCCTGCCTGGACGGGGACGAGCGCAGACGCTCGCTGTGGGTTCGGCCTGGTCCGCAGCCCGGAGGCCACCCTGAGCCGCCTCCTCCGCCAGGACCCCGCTGCCTCCTGAGCGCCCCCCGTGCTAACTGCCACTGACCGTCTTGCACAGGGCGTTCCCAAATGGCCAGAAGCCCAGGAGGACATCTGTGCCCTGGAGGGGCAGTGTCGGCAGCACCAAAGTGTCCGCCGGGGCCAAGCTACAGATGTAAATGTCGGCTGTCTTCATCCTGGTGTGTCTGCAGAGGACGGGGAGGAAGAGGCTTCATTTGGCCACCTTGGCAGACCTGGCAGCGAAGGGCAAGGGGCCATCACAGGGGGCACCCTAAACTTTCCCTTGATGCTAAATTTTTGTGTTAACAGCAATTTGCTTGTCATTAAAACTTATATAAACCCGGACATTGGCCCCTCTGCCTGTGCCCAAGCACTGCAACTGAGCTGGCCCTGGATGCCCCTGCGAAGCCCCTCTCTCTGACAGGGTTGTCTGCCCGACAGTCAGCCTGGGTAGAACCGGGCCCACGCAGGAGCCAGGAGGATATCAGAATCTCAGGGCTGCCAAAGGAAGCAGTTCTATGCATCTGTCATCAAACTCCCTTGGATCCGCCCAAGGAACGAGAAAGGAGCTAGAGCGGGGGGAGGTGGGAGTGAGGAGAACCCATAGCCCACTGTGGGGAAGCACCCACCCACTGGATCCACAGGAACCTCTGGCTACAGGGGTGGGGAGTGCAGTGCTTGATTGTTTGGGGAGAAACTTTGTGCTGAAGCAAAGAAGACAGGCCCCCGGCACGTCATGAACTAGTCGACCCCTTCCCAAAGTGGGACAGTCTGCCAAGCACAGAGCCAGGTGGAGAGCACAGAGCAGGTTGGAGGACGAATCTACTTACACCCCACGTGCTAATCCCAGAGAATTTACCCCAATGGCCCCCCAAAGAGTCAGAAACACCTGTTGCAAGCAGAGCGCCCTGACCAGCGTGCAGGGGGTTATTCTGACCCTCCGTCACGGCCCCTGGAGACAGTTCAGGGCTGGTTACGTGCAGGGGAAATCACACTGTGTCCACATGCATAGATACATGGAGACACATGTTACACCAGCACAAATGCACATGTCTTTCAGCCTTGGCACAAAAATGCTGCAGCCATAGTGGCTCTGGTCCTCAGAGCCTCCCGCTGCTGGCAGCATGGACAGAGCCCCGTCCTCCCCAAGAACGACCCCACAAGGCCGGGGTCCCCAAAGCAGGAGAGGCCAGTCCGGAGTCAGCACCTCCTCCTCTTTCCAGGTGCCTCCGCTCACCTGGCCAGCTCTGCAGCTCAGCCAGCAGGTAGAGGCAGCTCTCCCACTGCAGATGTCTCAGCGGCTTGTCTGCAGGGAGAACGCTTGCCAAGTCACCGAGCTGCAGCCTCCATCTGCAAACTGGGAGGGTACTTCTCTGGGTGGTCACAGCGGGCAGGGTCCCCACGGCTCAGATGGTCCTTGCAGCCTCCCTCAAGCAGGTCTGCCAGCCCCAGCTCTCCTTCCAACTCTGCATACGAAGCCGCCTCTGACTGGGAAGCTCAGGCTTCCCCCACAGATAACTGGAGGCTTGTAAATGAAGTAGGGCATCAGTCACTGGGGGTGCAGGGCAGAACCTGTCCCAGCTGGCATCCTTCCAAGGCCACCAGGACCCAAGCAGGACACAGGGTCCTGACAGCTGCACAACCGCTGACCTCTGATGGAGTCTGAAAGGAGGGCTTTGAGGGACAGCCCGAGGGGGGCCCAGGCAACCCAGACAGAGAACCACAGAGCCCTCCCCACCCCACAGCTGAGACCAGGCACATGGGGCTGCTTCACAAATGACAGGGTGGCCTGCGGCGGTCCTCCTGACCACCTCTCAAACCTGAACAGCCATGTCTGCGGCACAACAGTTCATGTGTCCTGGAGGGAACAGGCTTGCTGAGAAGCCTCCTAAAGGAGTTCCACTCTCAGGGCGAGTCCCACTGCCCAGGGGTGCCCACTGGACTCTCCAGGCAGCGCCAGGCCCATCCAGCTGCCCAGAGGAGACACTGCAAGGGTCCATGCAGACAGCACACAATACGAGGGGCACGTGGGAGGACTGTACAGCCGCTGTCATGCTCCCGGCTGTGTGCCTACCCGGAGAGGGTTGCAGCAGGGGAGAGGCCAGAATGGTCCATGAAGCTTGGCAGTGCCGGGGTGGCTCTGGCCGGGCATGCTCACCAGTGAGTCCTTGCGCCCCCTCCCCGCCCTCCACTAGGAGGGCAGCTTTAGTATGACCAGGGCCTCGAGGGCAGCCCTAATGCTCTGACCCGTCCCATGATGTCACCAGACCCTCCAAGGCCACAGGGTGGCCCGTGGAGGGTGGTGATGCGCAGCTGCACGTCAGCCTAGAGAGCGGTGACCTGGGTGAGCTCCGTGTTGGGTGTGGATGGGCTCTGCGGGCTGACAGGCACCATGGGCAGGTCCACGCCTAGTCATGCCGGCCGTGGCACCATCTCAGAGGTCTTGCGAGCATGAGCCACATCCTTGGCGATGCTGCGCACGCGGTCTGACACCTGCATCTCCCGGCGCAGGGTGGGCGCGCAGCAGAACTTGCGGAAGCAGGCCTTGAAGTTCTCGTCCAGGAAGGCGTAGAGGATGGGGTTGAGGCAGCTGTTGACATAGCCGAGGGCCGTGCAGAAACGCAGGATGGCCACCACGGTCTCACTGCCTGGCTGCACGCCCAGCCCTTGGACCAGCACAAAGACCTGGACGGGCGTCCAGCAGCCCACGAACACAGCCACCACCACCAGCACCAGCCGCGTGATGCGCCGCAGGTTGCGGTCCTTCTCACGGGAGCCTGAGAGCAGGCGGACGCCTCGCAGCCGCCGGATCATCAGGCTGTAGCAGACAGAGATGATGAGCACGGGCATGACGAAGGAGAAGAGGAAGATGCAGATGGCAAACACGGGGCCCCAGTAGTCCTGCGGGGTGGGGATCTCCACCAGACACTCAATCTCTGCGAGGAGAGAAGCAGGGTCAGGGCAGGTGGGCAGGTGGGCAGGGAGAGAGCCACCCAGAGCCAGGGGAGCGTGGCACTGGGGAGGAGGGTCCCCCGCACTGACCTTCAGCCTCAACCTGTGCCGAGCCCATGATGGCAACAGGAACGCCGACAACAGAGGCCAGGGCCCAGATGGCCACATTGACAGCCTGGGCCTTGCTGGATGTCCGGACGTCAAGGGCACGGATGGGGTGGCAGATGGCTATGTAGCGGTCCACGCTCATGGCAGTCAGCGTGAAGGTGCTGGTGAACATGTTGTAATAGTCAATGGCGATGACCGTCTTGCACAGGGCATTCCCAAATGGCCAGAAGCCCAGGAGGACATCTGTGCCCTGGAAGGGCAGGGTCAGCAGCACCAGAGTATCCGCCAGGGCCAAGTTAAAGATGTAAATGTTGGTAGCTGTCTTCATCTTGGTGTGTCTGCAGAGAGGACGGGGAGGAAGAGGCTTCAGTTGGCCACCTTGGCAGACCTGGCAGCGAAGGGCAAGGGGCCCTTCCTCTTGGCCATCACAGGGGGCACCCACTCTGCCCCCTGCTAAAATGTAGGTTCATGGGCCCAGGCCAATGCCATGGAGCCTGAAGGCAAGTATTTTAACAAATTCTTCAAGTACTTACAGCACACAAAAAATGGTTTGCAACCTAAAGACTTGCCTGCCTTGGAAAAGATGGGTGTGGGGTGGGGGGAGCAGAGTGTCTGCCTGACCCTGCATGAGAGCAGAAACAGGACTCATGAGACAAAGAACCTGTCCTCCTCCCTTTCAAGTCTCCCCCAAGACCCTTCTTGGACCAAAATGTTGGCCCTTCCACCACCAGAGGTTTCCAGGGCTCCAGAATCTGGAAGAGCACACCAAACCAGGCCTCACTGTTGCCTAGCAACCGAAACAGGAAATGGTGACAGGGATGGGACAGATGTTAATGGGGTCTGATTGTATGCAAGAACCTGGCATGGGTCTGGAGAAATTGTGGGTGCTTAATAACTACCTGCTAAATGAATTAATAGTTGTTATAATGGTGATGGTGGTAGTGTTGGTGATGGTGGTAATTATGGTGGTGGTGGTGGTGGTGGAGATGGTGCTAGCAACAGTGGTGGTGATGGTGGTGACAGCGATGGTGCTGGTGATGGTGATGATGGTGGTGATGGTGGTGCTGGTGATGATGGTGGTGGTGGTGATGGTGGTGGTGATGGTG